GCACCCCCAACGGGAGCACCAGCACCAGGAGGACCCCCAGCTCCAGCAGCTCCAACTCCAGCACCCTCAGCAGCACCAGCGCCAGGAGCACCTCCAGCGCCAACACCCCCCCTGTAGCTCCAGCTCCAGTCGGACCACCCGAAGACGCAGCAGCTCCAGCTCCAGGAGCACCAGCAGCACCAACGCCAGCAGCACCAGCAGCACCACCAGCTCCAGCAGGAGGAGCACTCGTAGGCCCAGCAGCTCCAGTACACTCGGTACGAGCACCTCTCGGACCCTCGGCACCAGCACTCTCAGCAGCAGCCGAACCTCCAGCGCCTGCAGCACCACCAGCTCCAGCAGCACGCCGCCAGCGCCGGGCGAACCACTCACGCAGCTCCTACGGAGAGAGCAGCTCCCGCCGGGACGAAGCACCCGAAGAACTGCCAGGCTCAGCACCACCAGACGCCAGACGAGCAGGTCCAGCACCCTCAGGCTCCGCACTCCGAGACTCAGCACCCCCAGGCTCAGCACCCCCAGGCGCAGCACCCCCAGGCGCAGCACCCCCAGGCTCAGTACCCCCAGGCGCAGCACCCCCAGGCTCTGATACCATGTGAAAGTTAGAACGAGAATGAGTGCATTGAGCAGCATGAGGAGTACAAGTACCAAACCCTAGAATGTTGTACCCCATATAAGCTACCCCACTACAGCCTACACAGACTATAGTGTATAAGTTTGACAAGCTGCAGGCGCGAGGGTTTTGGCGGGAACGGTTTCATAACTGTACGCGCCGCACGGTTGGAATGAATTTGAATATGGGAATGTACCCCTTAGAGTACATGGCTAGCTAGGTCGTTTCGTCTTCCCTGTACTCATATTTATATTTGCTGTATTTGCATGTTTTATTTATCTCAAAGCATTTTACATTCACTCTGCTATTGAGGTCAAGGGCCCACCAACATTACTACTTCTCTTTGTGCGAACCTTCCGAGTAGATCCTGGCCAAGATCAACTTCTGATCGTAGCACATTTAATGTCCCACTGATTCCTTAAGTGGAAATTCGTTTTCTTGTAGAAGATCTCTCTCTATCCCTCTCTTTGAAAAATATGTTTATATATATCTATATATGTTACATATAGTAATGTTTAAACATTACTGTGCACTCCTTACCGCAGCTAAGGAAGCACGCAGTAACGAGGACGAATGCAAAGAGTCAGAATTGACTCGAAGCGACGCGGACGGTTGGAATGCATCTAGACCGTCGAAGCATACGGCATCGGGCAGCTGTAGGCACGAAGGGAATTGGCAGGAACAGTTTCGAAACTATGCGCGCCGCACGGTTGGGAATGAATTTGAATAAGGGAATGTACCCCTTAGAGTACATGGCTAGCTAGGTCGATTCGAATTCCCTTGTACTACTATTTATATCTCTGTTTTGCATGTTTTAATAATCTCAAGCATTTACATTCATTCTGCTATTGAGATCAAGGGTCCCACCACCAACTACCTAGCTGTTTGCGAACCTTCCTGAGGAAATCCTAAGAGTTATCACCTTCTGTTCGCAACAATATATACCTCTCTCTCTCTCTCTCTCTCTCTCTCTCTCTCTCTCTCTCTCTCTCTCTCTCTCTCTCTCTCTCTCTCTCTCTCTCTCTCTCTCTATGTGTGTATATAAATATTTATATACCTCTCGTCCTCTGCTTATATATATATACACCTCTCTCTATATGTTTATAAAAAATATATATATACCTCTCTCTCTCTTTCTCTCTCTCACTCTCTCTCTCTCTCTCTCTCTCTCTCTCTCTCTCTCTCTCTCTCTCTCTCTCTCTCTCTCTCTCTCTCTCTCTCTCTCTCCATATGCATCTCTCTAAGTGCACAACATTAATTGTCACGAGACATTGTTTTAGGGTTTCGAGTTTCAGAACCGGCTTACGGTAACGTATCTGTGTGTCTGTTGCAGCAGCATATTTTTGTTGTGTTGGCGATGTCAAATTATATGTATGTGTATTTGTTTTGTCTAGGCTGTAGTGTGATAGTGTCAAACTATATATATGTGTTAGTTTTGTCTAGGCTGTAGTGAGGTGGCCTTTATGGGGTACAACCCAAAGCTAGGGTTATACTTGTACCCTTGTTTCTTTCAATCCAATCATTCATGCCTAATTCTGAGATGGTATCATAGCTGTAGGTCCTTAGAAGATTCGGGCCCACCGGTCACCGCGTTACCTCATCTACAGCCTTGCCTGCCTGCCTTGTCTGCCTGCCTGCCTTGCCTGCTGCCCGCGCGCGCCTCGGCTGCAAGCGCGCCTCCGCACGCACACCGCCGTCGCGCGCCACCAGCCGCCGCGCGCTACTTGCAGCCACGCGCAGCCCGCAGCCACGCGTGCGCCGCCCGTCGCCGCCTAGCCCTGCGCCCTTTGCCGCCTGTGCGCCACGCGTCCGCCCTAACCGCACGCCGTCCGCCGCCAAGTGCGCCTGCCTGCCTTTCATGTGCCTGCCGCCTGTGTCTGCCGCCTGTGC